TTCTGCATTCCTTACACCTTGTCCATTACAAAAAGCCATCTTGCCCCATCTGTGAATGGAAAGCTGTGAAACACGGCTTTTCGTCTAGGCAATCCGTGTCTCTCAGTTTTACCAAGATCGGAGTGAGTGGTCCCAGTTCATTTTACAGTGAGCATGTGTCCACACATCAGCATCTACAATGTCATTTAGAGAAAATATTATAGAAAACATTAGTCCAAAGTCTAAAATTCCTGTTGGTTCACAACTGGTAAAAGATACACACTGTAATTTGTAGCAATTAGAATGATAGGAGAGAGGCAGAAGCTGATAGACATAATGCCAGAACACTCTCACCGTTTCTCCAAAAGTAAATGCTTTCTATTTAGCCATTGCTGTAGCGAATAAGATGCTTTGATAGCTTCAGCTTGCCACCTCTAAGGGAAAGGGAAACGCAGTAGGAAGGAAGAGGACAGACTAGCAAAACCAAACTTTTCTTTTTGATCTTAAGTCAAATTCAGTTCCTATGAACTTGCTGACTTTACTGAGAACAAAGTTGAATCCATGCTATAAAGGTGGAATTCCTCTGGATTGATGCAAATATCAACCCAGACACAGAATATGCAGTCAAAATGCAAATGCATTATGCTAAATGCATCCAGATTGCTTAATGTATTCACAAAACTGAATACACTGACACATTTGTGCTGGCAAATGTGTATCACTCATCGCTGTCAATGTACTTCAGCTTTATGTGATTTGAAAACTTGCAAGTTCAGCCCGTCAAATTAGGCATATCTTACAGTGCAAATCTTTCATTAGCAATTGTCCAGTAGCGTAGGAAGCTGCGATGTGACTCTGTGGCACACTTCCCTTCTTGCACGCCACATTAAAATGAAACAAAAACCATGACAGGCCAAAAGGAACTGCTCATAGAAAACCAAGCACAGATTGCTCATTGCTAACGGATTGTGGACAGTTGGTCAATGCATTTTCTATAAAAACTTGCCGCATTTAAAACAGCTCATTTCATGAGTCACAGGTTATTACACTGACGAACTGACCAAATTTCTGAGGGTGTCTGAGCCATGTTCTTAAGGGTATCTGGAAAGAGACTCCCACTTTTCATTGGGAGTTATTTTAAGTCTTTGTTGCTCTTCTGCCCTAAGCTTTAAAGTAATTTCTTTTGTTTTCCCACATGTGGGAGGTTACACATGAAAAACTCTTTGTCAAGATGTGATAACGCTCCTTGCTTGGTCAAAACTGATGCCCAGTTCTTGGAACCAAATTATAAAACCAGAAGCTCTTGTGCTAACGCTGTAATTTGTATTAATTTGGGAATTATTTAATTCTCACAGTGATGAAGAAACAAGACTCGAATCCTGCCCTAAGGCTCTTTGTGCCCATTTCACCGGCAGGAACAGTGAACCGGCTTCAGTTATCTCTTCCCTCAAACAAAGGTGCACTTTTACAAAGGCATAGCCAGGAAAGGATTCCCCATGAAGGTCAGCAGGACAGAAGCAAATGTCATGCCTGGACAGACAAATAGGAGCACATAGTCTGCAAGAGGCATATGAGGTCATCTCTCCAGGGTCTTCAGCACCAGCAGAGCCCCAGGGGAATTTACTGGGTCAGTTGTGCGTACCAGGCTTCGAGGTGGGCTATTAGGGAGATGTTTAGGGGTGAGTACCACAGACACACTCTCTCAAGACTTTGTACACTATCCTGGCAAAGAAGAGACAAATGTTGATGTGACAGAACAAGCTTCAGTCTAGTTTTCTCCAACACAAGGTAAGCATCAGCTTGTAAGACAGAGCGGTTAGCTTTCATTAAAACAAGCAGCAGAATGGCTCAAGTAAGGACCTGAGCATCTGCCAACAGTTCGCAGTCTCTTCCCTAAATACATACTGATAAACAAGGACTACTAATTTTATTTACAAAACCAGTCTGTGGTCGATACAACACTGAAGATTGAGCATAGCAGTCGGTTGTGTCACAGCCAATGTGGTCCCTAATTTGAGGAGGGCACTGCACAGTTCCTAATGTACTCCAGCATTCTAAATGTGTAGCTAATGACTGACAGCATAAACAACTTACTCATGCATGATTTGTGCTCGTTCTACCCTAGGCTTCAATAATCTCCCTCAAGTAAGCTGAACAGAACTGTAACGTCCTTCCTGAAACATCGACTCACTGGCTATGTGGAGCTAGTGATAAAGGTTGCAGATTTTCTTCAAACAGAAATTCTCTGGTTTTATTGTTTCATTTAATTGAATTTTCTTTTCTCCTCTCTTTTCTCAAATGAACTCTTGAAAATGAAGGAGTTCAGTCTCAGGCACACCGTGTTCCTTTGTCGAAACTCATTGGCAAGGCACAAACGTAACTGAAAGCAGAACTAACTCATTGTTTTAAGAAGTCGTTTGCAATATAGTCTATATTGCTTGTTACTCTCCTGTTTATTATCAGGCCATTCAATGGCAGGTGGTTTAGAGAAAAAAAAAAATGGTGAAAGTTACATAAAACATCTGGGCCAGATCCTCAATGGGTATAAATTGTCATTGTACAATTTGCAGGCTCTGGAGGACAGGCTTTACCAAATCAAAGTGCTCTTTGTTTTCTAATATGATCCTACTACACAAACAGACTGGAAAAGAGATTTATTTCTTCTGTAGCACTGTGCCCTTGATTAACCTAGTTTGTGGTACCTATTTCAGTGAAAGCGCTAATACCAACACTGAGTTCAAAGCGTTGCTAAGTGCGATACGTGCTTGTTCATGTATCATTTGCTTCTCTCAAGCCATTTTCTGTCAGCAGAGAGGCAGGCAAGATGTATGCTCTGGGTGAATCCCACATCATCATTAGCAGAAAATTACGCCAAACTGCTGTAAAGTAATTACGGGGCTCAAAGGTGAGCTGGGAGGAAGTCAGTGATTAAATACTTACCACCAGAGTCAGCCCACATCACATAATGCTTTGTTCAGAGGCTTTCAATCTATTTTCAAATCGCTGCCAGTGCCATGGGCTGAACTGAAACTTCACTCGGGCCTTGAAAAGTATGCTCAGACATGCTTGGCCCTTTTTCATACCAAATGAATTTTATTTCAATATCATCTAGTACAATACAGGATAACAGCAATTCTTAACCAGTAGCTCGAGGTTGCTCTTGCACTGCCAAGCTATTCTCACCAAGATCTTTCACAGGTTCTTACAGAGGTGCTGCAGTTACAGCAATCCATTGTGGTCACACTGCAGTGTAGCTATCTGTCATGCAAAGAATGTGAAAAGTGTGAAGGTTTAGAAATGATGGGATCTGAATTACCTCAATAAAACTCTGTCTGAGTGAAAGACCTTGGAGCAATGACTGAGGAAGCAATAATAAGACTGTACTCTGTATCTTCCCTCCAAATGATCTTAAACACTGGCAAGCTTAATCTTTGACATTCCTGTGAGAAATACATCTCCCTGTTGTGGATGGTAATTTTGAAGCACAGAGATATTTTCATTAATAACTGACTTTATTAATCCTTTTCCAGAATGGAGCAGCACACCCTCTGGGACACAGGGAAGATGCGGTCCTTGTCCAGAGGGACCCACCAGCAGGACATCAAAGACAACTATGACAGATGAGATCACAGGAGGCAAATGCTCGGTGGGTTCCACAGTTTTATTTCGCATTTTGCCTCCTCTCCCTGCCTCCCCTAGCCTCAGCCTTCCCCCTCTCAGCTTCCTCCCTTCGCCCTGCTGCTTCCCTTTCTCCTCCCCATTCCTCCCCTTCTGCTCACCTCATACCCAAGACCCAGCACTGAGTCAAACGGACAGTCAAAGGCACTCAATACAGACAAAATGCTGAAGGATTTGCACCCTGGGAGACAAGAAACCTTTGTACCCTTCAGAACACTGGCTGGTCCTTTAGAAGCAGTTTATACCCTGTTTTACCCTGTTCTTGTTGGTGAGGAGTTTGATGGAATAACTCTAGTAAGTAAACGGGTTTTCTAATATTGCCTCGAAACATGACACTGGAAACAGGATGGCTATGGTGAAATCCTGCCTCCAGTGACGTGGGCAGCTGTTTGGTGACTGCAGGTACCGCATTTTGCTTCAACGCACTTCCATTCTCTGTACAGTGACCCACACGTACAACTCCCGTTTACTGGGGCTCAGTTCTGAAATCAGTCAGAATTTTATCACTGATTTAAATGGGGAAGGGATTAGGGCACAGATAGCACAGTCTGTATGTGTGGCTGACTTCCAAGTAACCCCACAACGCAGTTTAGGGTCTGGCACCATTTGACGCTCTCAACTCCCAGCCACGCAACCAGGAAACACAGGTCTGAATGGTCTCTGCTCACCTACCACCACCTACACGTTCTCACCTGGATGGGGTGCACCAAGCTCAGCAGCTGGTGTTTCCAGCACTGAACCTTTTCATCGAGCTATCCAGCTGTCACATGAAGGTTCATCTGACCCCGGGTTGTCTATGTCTTGGAAAGAGACTCTAGATTTATTATTAAAATAATGTAAGGAAGATTTTTTTCAAAGAGCTGCAAAATGCCCTCATAGATTTAATGAGAGTTGGGCCACTAACCACAGACTGCACCTTTGGAAAATCCACCCTTTGTTGCAACTTTTAATTTCAACGAATTTCAAACTTTTGCAACTTTTAATTTCCAGGTCATGTAATCTGTGCCTTTGTTAAGTGAAAAACACTTTTAGTACCAGATCTTTGCTAGCCCTAAAGCTATAGGTGACCCAGCCGCTTTTCAATCTGCTCTTACAGAGGCTGTCAAAGCTTGCTTTTTTCTTTCTCGATAAATGAAAACTTTCATGCACTGATCACTACTCCATCCAAAGGCATACTGCATATCAGCAAACAGAAGTCATTTTACAGAGAAACTTTTGCATAAGGCTTGAAAGAAAGCCCAGCAAGAACTGACAATGACAGATGATCTCCCCAGTGACATTCAGGAATAACGCAGTTTCACATTTATATCAGGGAAAAACAAGCAATGGACATATTTAAATAATCATTAAAAATTAAATGCCTGACACAAGGCAGGTTTCAACCCTGTTCCGCCGCACATCTTCTGGAAATCTTTAATGGATATCATTTGAGGTCTTCTCATTTGCTTTGCTCATGAACAAAAGCTTTGTAATGGAGGTTCGAGTGTATGTGTTATCAGCAAAAGGTTCTCTCGAGGGAAATTAAGTGAAAGGACATTTTTCTTGTCTTCACGTTTGACATTCAGGAGCAGTGACGAGATAAGGCAGGCACAGGAGTCTTTCAAAAAAACGCCAGATAGCAATGGCAGCATTTCATAAGGATGTGAACCGTTCATCATCTGCTGCAAAGACCCCGTTAATGTGGCCGGCTTTTAAATCCAGCGCTTCGCAAGGAATCCCATTTTCTAATGTTCCTGTCACTTCGCCTTTCTCTTCCAAATTTTCTCTCTCCGTTGACTCTTTATTCTTCCTAAAAACAAGAAAGAGAAAATCATCTGACTCTGTTGACCTGCAGCACTCCACCACAATTCCACAGACTGAGAACTGCATGTTTAGTCAGAAGTTTATCGTAGGTTATGTTCTGAAAGGCATTATCTGGTGCACCTCTTTGCTGTGGTAAACATACTACGGAAGGTGGGAGGCCCACAGATTGGAAGCCCTGGTTTAGTGGTTTGAGGTCAGGATCGGGAACAAGCAAACCTAGAGTAAACATGTTGTAAGTATGTTATAAATATTACTTCACCTCCTTATTCTGTAAAATGACCAGAGATCGCAGAAGGAAAAGCTGGTGCAAAAAAAAAAAAGGAAAAAATCTCTAAATCTGTTTTTGCTTTATGTCAGGAAGGACTATGTTAAACATCTAGTCTGACCCTGCTACATATGTTGTAGATTTCAGCCCATGATGGGGACAAATTAAAACACACTTTTTAGAAAGAGATCAGCTTTAAACTATAGCCTCCAAATATGGAGACTCGAGTACCTTCATACTCCTTGATGATCTTCTCCAGAAGTTAGGTACTTGTAACGTTGCAGATCTGCAGTTTTAGTTCAAACTTCACCAACAGCCACCTTCCTACCCAGTATTTTATACTTTTGTCTTCTAGATCAAACAATTGTATGGCTTTCACTATTCCAGGCTCCAGTTCTCACCAAAAGCATACTAAAACAGTTGCTGAATAAAATTATCCAAAAATAAGCCATGAGAAGATGTAATACAGAAATATCAGTCAACACGTCACGATGTTCCTTTAATTCCAGATTTATTCTGACCTTGAGATCTACTAGTTCATAGTTGAAAAATCTGCTGTACTTTACAGCCTGCAGCATCAGCGGTTTCAGAGGATAAGAAACCCAAAGGTCAGCTCCACTGCTTCTTCCTATCCCACAACATGTACTGTAACAATCTGACTCAGGACAATCATAACAACCTGACTCAGTGTAACTGCTAATAACAGCGATATTAACAATAATAAAATTTTATTGGCCTTTGGGAGATTCTTGGCATTACTGACGTGCTAAAAATAAATGTGGGGGGTAGTAGTGGAAACCTGTGACTTCTGGCTGTTGCATCTGCTCTTACAGTGATAAAAGGAGTGTTCTTTAATACAAAAACTGTGGGGGCAGAACATAAAAGACGATACTAAGAAGCAGATTCAAAAGAAATGGGAGGAGTAGGAGATGTGTGGAACTCGTTGCCATAGGAATTCAGAGAAGCAAAAAATTTCTGAGTCCAAGGGGAGACTCAACAAGTTAAGGGAAGAGAAAACATCATGGGTTACCCAATACATGAAGACCAAATCCAGCTCAGCAAGGCCCCCAGCTGCAAATTAGATGCTGGGAGAGTAATGGAGGGAAGCTTTGTGTGTGAAGGTCTGTGCGAGCTTACTCTGTTTTCGCTCTTCCCAGGGCAAATGGCCTCTGCTGCAAATGGGCTTTTGGGGCTGGGGGTAGGTGTGGACTTCAGTTTGGTTCAGCATAGCCCGTAGAGGATGGTCCTGCCCTGGGTATGTGCCAAATCTATTATTGGAGAGGGAGGTGGCCTATTGCTGCAATGACAGGAGAACAACATAAAGCTGGGAGACAGTGTGTCTGATCCAGCTCACTGCAGAGTCAAGGGCTACAATCACAAGGGCTACAAGGTCTCCAAGCTGCGGGCAGCTGGAGGCTTGGGATTTTACATGTTGGCAGGGATGCACAGTGAAGACCTAACTAAGAAAATCTTTCAGTTCAAGAAATTACGTGTGAGTCTAACTCACTACTGAAACTGCATTATGGGCCAATCACATGCTTCCCTGCCACCCTGAATATGAACAGCCTGAAGCACGTGCTTTTGGGCTTATCTGATCCGAGGTATTTAACTGGTACTTTAAAGGTCTATAAAGACAAAATGCCAGATTTATGAGAAGTCAACACTGCCCTTGGGGACAGATTTGCAACACAGCTTACCAGGCAACAGAGCTGTCATTATGTCAGCTCTGGACAGGTTTCCAAGAAAACTCACTACTGGACATGCTCAAGTCTTTGACAACCTGGTCACATACTTCGGTGCCCAAAAAAGAGATGAGCACTTTTGAAATTCTCTTCTCTGATGTCTGGCTCTTCTTCCGAGAAGCCAAATAGCCCAGACCATCCCTTTTACCTCTCCAGTCTTTGCTACAGTAAATGGAAGAAATATATGCTTGGGTTACCCTCCCTCTCACTCCCCTGCACCTGCCTGCAGATGCCATTGATGTGAAAGAAGGGTTAGAGTTCAATCACAGATTAATCTGCTCTGAGGAAAGGTTATACATAAAGGCAGAGTAGGGAAACAGTGGCAAGTAAAAAGGAGCATAACAACTGCAAGGACAACAAGAGCATGAGACAGAGAGGATGCCAAGTGACCATAGGCAGGCAGCAGCAAGCCATATTACTGGTAGTATGACAATAAGAGCATGTAGTTTACACCACATTGAGGGGAACTGCTCAAGCTCAGCTGAGTTATTTTGAAAAGAGGGGGGAAAATGCTGTCTTTCAGCATGATATGAAGCACAAATGACTATTTTAGCTAGAAAAATAATAGTTATTTAGCATAATTTATTTATATTACACTTATTTGAAATGTTCAAAGACCCCCTTTAAGTTAGGCACTATATAGACACACAGAGCCAAGATACTCCACAGAGGGCAGGTATGGGCTTCAGGTAGCAATATTATTCTCCAGTTGCCTAGGTTCAGGGGATGCAATAACTCAGCCCATATCACATGGAAGGTTGTGATAGAGCTTAAACTACCCACAGATCCCAAGTACCTGCCCATCCTCTTTCCCCGACAGCATCTCTCATCTAATGTTTGTTGAATTTTGTTTTTTGAAAACAGAACAAGCTTTAGCAAATTCATGCAATCTTTCTGAGTGCAAAATACAACTGGAGGAATTCTGACTACACTACTAAGGGTTCTCTATGAGAAGCACTTATCCTTCACAATAAATGTAGTTTTTCTGCGATCTTTTAATGTTATTCCTCAAGGTGATAAGGAGCCAGAAAGGAAAAGTCTCTGCAACACACCACTTTTCATATATGAATCCTTGTTCTGATATATCTGGGGATGCAGTCCACCATACAGTCAATAATTTTAATGTTACCCAGTTGTCAGTAGAAATTTACCTTTTTTCAGTTCCTCTGCTGTTCTTGTTATGACTGTTGCTGAAGTCATAATTTTGTGTTTATGTGTAACCTAACCTCCATGGCAGCCTAATGCATAGCAGAAGCTGAACTTCAATGGCAGAATCTCATCTCAGCTGAGAAATTTCTATTCCTTATGCCTAAATCTGAGCCAACAGAGATGGAAAGACTGAAACTCCACCTACTCTCTGTCTTGCTCCAACAAGCACACACCAGGGAAGCATGAATAGCCTTCTCTTTTTCACCAGTGCCACCACAGGGCAAAAACTGAGAGGAAAAGAGAGTATCTCTCTCCTGCCCTACTGCCAAACAGCAAACACCTAGGCTTATAGGGAGATCTGGTCATGAACCTATGAAGGGCTGGATACTTTGGACTCATCAGGTGGTGAGACCATGCACCGTTCCATTGAGCAGGCCCTCTTCAGCCATACATTAATCATTACTGTGCCCTCTACTGAGGCTTCTCAGGCTGCAGCTGCATTTTTTTATCCCTGTTGACACTACTGGCCTCAAAGGGGCACAGTTGCTGCCAGCCTTCTCCCTCTTGGGATATTTGGATAGTCTGTGAGAGGAGGCTTGCCTGTGGCACACTAAACCTTAAGAAGAATGACAGCAAATGTCTTTGCAAAGCTATCACCTCTAGTTAGGTGGCCTTCAGGATCATATTCTTATACTCTGTATTTCCTCATTACACCCCAGCATTACTAAGGCATCTATACTTAGTTAAAAATTTCCACCCCTTTCCTTGGAAAAGGACACATGGGTTATCTTTACCTTGGGGGGAGGGGGGGAGGGCACAGCTATAATTTCTCTGAGGCTGATCTGAAAAGCAAAACCAGACCAGCTGACTTAATTTGACAGTATTCAGTTAAAACAGAAGAAAAGCTAAGCTGCTTACTTCTTGCGCTGCTGAATCCCCGCAACAACAAGGAAAACAATTCCAGCCACAATGAGACAAAGAACAACACCAAATACGATAAGCCAGACAGGCGTGGAGGGTTCAACAGGAGGTGATAAGGTTGAGGTTATCTTCAGGAACTGCAGTGTTTTGTCACTCAGTAGGAAGGCACTGTTGATTCTGTTCCTGTTCATCCTTCATAAAAACATAAAGAACATCACAACTCTTTATAAAGGTATTTTCTAAGTTAAAAAGACAGAAGGGAAAAAAAAAAGGAATTTTCATGTATGCGCTGCAAGTCTGGCTGAATTTGATCCAGCACAATGTTGGTAGGATTCCACAGACCTTCACTTTAACATAGACCTTGTGAGTAATCCATAGACACCCACACACTTACAGGGTTTTGAACGCCAGGCTTCCATAAGTATTTATCTGAAAAATCAAGAAATACAGATGAGAACTGAAGTACAGTACCATTATTTATTTCTGGCTTGGACCATGTGCTGAAGACATAGCAGGTTGTAACCTGTAAGAGTGGCTCTGTTGTCTTGCTCGTACAGCATTCAAGATTAGCATGGCAGTGGCAGATCTACCCTGCAATGCTCAGAGGATTTACTTATCAGTGCCCCTTAGTTCCTCAAACTGAACCGTCCTGCATGTTATGGGCTGGTACATCTGCTCTTGCTGCTGTAGATTTTCTTATGTCCACGAAGCACAGGATACGATTTGATCCAGAAGAATCCACCCCTATTGCCAACATGCCCATCTTCCCTGCAGGATGCAGCTAAAGGGGTTTGTACTTCGCACATTTGTTTCCATTATGAGAAACTCTTAAGTCCCAAAAGTACGTTTTTCCATGAGTAGTACAACTACTACCCTTTAATGGATATCTTCACCCACATTCACTGCTTCTAAGCATTTGCAGGTATTTCTGGATCTGAATCTAAGCAGCCTTGACAGGCATTCACAGTACCTTTCACTAGCTTTTTCAAAATGTTAAAAATTTCGAGAAAATGTATTACATATATTGGTCTTGAGAGATTCTTTTTGATTGGAGTTGTATGATTTACAGCAGCTCTTTCTTGTATACAATTCAATTTATTTACCATAGAGCAAGTATTTCCTAAGAATAGATATATGGGAAACAGAGGTAACATTTTGCAAATTTCTTTTCTTGGAAATCATAATGCTTGACTTGGAAATCATAATGCTTCCCATAAACAGGAAATTCTTAGCCCTAATGGAAAGCTAGCATTCCTGGAGAGGACTGAAAGCCACGGCACATTATAAGACTCATTATATGGTAAGCTGTCTTTGATTTAGAAAAGATTTTCATCCTTATTGATATGAAAGGATCATTGTGAACAGCTGAAATGAGCATTGTTCACCCTTATCTAACGGCTGGAGCTACAGAACTACGTGCTGAAACACATGCAGGCAACTACAGGTGCATTTTGTGTTTGTACATACATAAATACAACTTGTGTGTATTTATGCAAAATCTCGGGTCTCATAAAGAGCTCTGACAAGGTTTACCTTCCTCTTTATTCTTACTTTGTAGAGAATCTCCATACTACAAAGTTCTGGTCCATGGGTATGTTCTTATGTGCTACTGTAGTATGAAGAATTTAGAATAATGGTTTAGTATGGAAGCCTGCAAACAGAAGCAATTGAATAAAAAGTATTGTAGTTTTACAGACTGGTTTATTTCTTGTTTCTAAGTTAGGTAGGAATTAAAACTTTCATAAATAGCGTATTCTTTATCTGGTGACAGACAACAGTTAAAAAAACAAACATACTATAATAGCATCCAATTTCCGTGGCAAACAGGGCACATAAAAGACTTAAATAAATCAGCTTATGCTACTGAACGTATCAAAGAATAACAGAAATGCAAAAACCTTGCATTCCAGCACTCTTAAGGAGAGCTTCAGTGAATAAATAATCTGCTTCCTCCACTAATGCTATGAAGCTATTGTTTGGTGTCTCTGTAGGAAATAGTTTAATCTGCTCATAAGCTTAAAAGTTAATCTTTCCAAAAGAAGGCATACTCATTCATCAGGAATTAGGCATTACACCTCCACAGAGATAACATGAATTTTCAAGACAAAGTACAGAATGCCTAAAAACAAAGAAGTCTGTTTCTCACTCTGTGCTTGAGAAATGTATGTGAGTTATGCTGCCCGTGGGAGTCACCCCTATAAACCCTTAATGCAGGTTTGGTGGACCACTGAAGTCAGATTACCCATTTTTTCTTTTTCTTTCTTCAGCTCCACAGTCTTGCTTTTCTTGGCTACAGAATGCAATATTTAGTAGAAAGCAAACTGGATTGTACTGCATGGAACTTTGTACAAGCAATGCTCAGCTGTGATGTTGACCAGCGTTCTAGAAAGAGCTGGTATGAAAAGAATGTGAGTATAAGATTGTTTAAGCCAAGCCGGGCCACGGCCAGCTCTGCTCATGAAGAGTTCACATGAGCTCTTCTCACGTGAAAGCTGACTTCCAATTTAAGTCAGATGAACTGTATTTGAGAAGCACTGAAAGGGAGCCTGCAGTCATCAGTCCAGGTGTAGGTGTGCATGTGGCAAGCAATGAAAGTCAAATGACACAAATCCCACCCAGAAAGTGTGCAATTCCATCATCTGAGGGAGGAGGCTCTCTCGCTGGGAAAAGTAGCAGCTGGATGAGAGCAGTGTATGTGCCACGCACTGGACAGCAAATTACAGGCAGGGCTCTGGAAAGAGACTAGATTTCTTCTGAGGCTGCAGCATTAAGAGAGGCTCCTTTCAAAGTTATAAGCCCAAGGCTCACATGCTTTGCATTCTGTGGGACTGTTAAAAATCCTCTAATCTCACATGCATGAAAGAGTACTGACCCCTTGGTGTTTTAACTACTTGGATTAGTTCATCCTTAAAGAGGCAGAGTGCTCATTCACACAAGGCCCAGAGAGAGAAAGCATCCTCAGTCAGCAAGGAAGAAAAGGTTGCAGAAGCAGACGCTGTACCTGATGGCTGCCTCCACCTCACTTCCAGGAACAGTCGTCACATTTTTGGAAGAATCTGTGACCACAAACCAAAATGACACCCGATCCGTTACATTGCAGACCAGCACGTTAGAAATTCTGCAGATAGTTAAAACAAAAACATCATTAAAGAAGCATGGAAGGAATTATTGAAATATTTTAAACGTTCTTAAAACATTGCTTTCATTCAAACGGGGAAAAATTCTTACTTTTAAAGAAGTTAACAGTTAATGCTCAAGGAAGAAATATTTCTCACAGCATCTCCCATTTCCCAGTATGATTAAAAAAAATATTAAGCTTATTGAGACCAAACTTGCGTCTTCAAACAGATTTCTGAATCTATTACAAACTTGCATGGTCTGGGACACCCATTTAGCGTAATCAAATGGAAAAAGACATATTTGCATCCCAATAATCAGGGCTGTGACAAAGGCCATATAATGGGGCAAACGCATTGCTGAACTAAGACTTTTTGTTTTGCCACCACAGAATAACACCACAGGAATCAGGCATGGGGGATTTTCCACGTGATTTTCAGGCGATTGCAGTCGTTCTACTTCAAGTGACTGTATCCTTCTACACGATACATTTGTTGCAGTGAAAAGCCATGAAATTGATGTTATTCTTTTTGACATCATTGTTCACAGTGTCAGGCACAGAGTGAAGGCAACAGGCTAAATTTAGACATTCTGCTGGCATTCTACTGGCACTTGCCTATGCCCTTCAGCTTATGCTATGACAAATATTTATCTTATCTGTTTTAAAAGAAGATTGCTCAGCATTACATGAAGTTAATGGTGGAAGGGCACGAGCACGCAGCTTATGGCATACTATTTAAAGTGTGCAAAATGTCTTTTAAATGCCTTTTTTCAGATTCTTACAAATTTTCTACCACTAATACTAGTAAATGGTGGAACTTTCATTAGAAAAACCTCATGGAATGACATCATGAGTATTTAAACTAAAGAAGTAAAGGCTAATCTGTTACTATCATGATAGTGACTGAGGATAGATGGTCCCCCTATGTTCTTCTATCTGTTCCTAACTTATTCACACAACTAAGAAACAAACCAGCCAAACTTGTGTAATACACAGGAATTGTGGCATTTATTCTAGCATGGCAAGGAACATAGTATGTATTGTAAAAGCACAGCCAAAGCCTTTAGGAATTCAATGACAGATAGCTAGAGAGATAAAAATGGGAAAAAAAAAA